GGATTTTTTTTTATGAGATCGTAACATACAAATAATGAATTATTTTAGATTATTGATAAAAATATAAATGCTCTACATGGAGCTCGGCCGCCTGACATCGGGCCCGCTCAGCCGAGCTCTCGAAAGCGCACAAGGAAGCTAATGAACGCCGGCGCTCTCCCTTCCTGGCTCCGGAGGCCAAGATTCTGCAAATCCCCGAGATCCGGGTGTGGAGAGCCCAACGCTCTGCCCGGCTTTTGATCTCCTTTCTCCACTTTGAGGTCTTTCTCTAGAGGGTTTCGCCCTTCGCCGGGGATGAGACCGAGATGCGCGGAAGAGGGGTCCCCACACCGAGGCCCCGGGGCGGAGGCTACAGCACACTTGTATGGCGGCATTGGGGAGTGTGTGTCGCCGAAGGGAGATCTGTCTCGCCAAGGCTGATTTCCACCTTGATTTCTACCCTGGGCCTGGGAAATCTCGCTGTGGCCCTTTGTCATTGGCTATTAACCTCCCAGAGCGCGGCCGCTACGCCTTGCAGCTTGCAGTTTTCGGCGGAGCCGGGACCCTCACGTGGAAGCTTCGGGAGCTGCTGGGGCCGGCAAAGAAAATGCAGGTCGGATATTAAACCAGCGGGAGACAAAATGACTTTTTAGCAAAGCCCAAGCGAAGAAGCGTTGCCTCCCAGCCCTTCCTCAGCCGACGCGCGTATTTGCATATATAGTGTCTGGGGTATTTGTTTTGCACGCAGTCTGCCCCCGGCACACCTGTGCACGGCGGTCTGCGCGCCCCCATCGATTTGCACTTTTCACTCAAGGAAAAAGAAAAAAAAAAAATGATGGAGCCTTCTTGGAGATCAAACTGGTGTCATCCGTGGGGCTCCCTCGCTCCTCTCCTTTGAGAAATAAAGTGCATGGTGGGTTCACCTAGGACCTCGGTTAGGCCTGTCATACTCAGAGGCCCTGAACACCAAGTTCGGGGTTGTTCCCTACTTATCCGACTTCTTTCTTGGCAGTGATGGAAGCAGCCTGACCGCGGAGCAGGATAGGCCCTCGCGGTCCCACACCTTCAGGGGCTCCTACTCCGAGAGATCTGGAGGCTCAGGCTGCTTCTGTTGGGCCGGGCTCCCGGGCACTTTCCTAATTTCTGCCGGGTCACGAGGGTGAGAAAAGGCCAAAGGATTTAGCTCCACCCAGGCCGGGCTAGGACACAACCAGGCCTCGGGGTGAGGGCAGTTCAGCGGGGAAGTGGGGCGCCAACCCCTTTTGCGCTGAGGGAGGTGGTGCAGCTCTGAGAAGCAGGGAGTGTGTTTATAAATGAGATTTCCTCTTAGACTTTGAAAAGCAGCCTCCTGCGGGGACGACAGTCTAGTGGGCTCCACCAACTCTCGAGATCTTCAGTCGACGTCCAGATCCAGGGTGTGCAGAGCCGTACAGGCAAAAGCAGGAACTGAGCTGCGCAGGTGGACTTCAGAAAGGAGAGCATTTTCTGGCGCAGCAGGGCTCCCCGGGAGTTACATGCTAAGTTGTTACCTGTTAAATAAAAAGATGTAATAAACATAAGAGCAAAAATAGAATGTCAGCGTTTCAAGGAACTTGAAACCAAAGACGAAAAAGAAAAGGAAAATAACCTCACCATGCATGGTAAGCCTAGTGTCTGCTTGAACACTTCTAGGATCAGGGAACTCATTACCTTTCAAAGCTGTACATTACACTTGTTTTACCAAGTGTTATCATTTGAGAACAAATTTTAAAATATAAATAAATTAAAATGATTCTGTAATGTTGCTATATTATTAAATATAGCAACATTCTTGCTACATTTGTTATTAAAAAGAGAGGCCAGATTTGGTGGTGGTGGTGGTTTAGAGGCCAATTGTGCTAGGTTTTCGTTGTGCCGGTTGAGAGAAGCTGAGAATGTCCTACGTGATCCGTCCCCGTGGATGATGACCCTGTGGCGCTCCGGGACGGGAGCGGCGGGGAGTCGGGTGCCTCCACAGTGAGATCCCAGCACTCTGACTCCTCGTGTCTGTGCAAAACTCTGGAGCAGCCTCTCTGGAACCTGCTGCCCGCAGGGACTTCCTTCACCTCCTCAGCCGCGCCAGTTGGCTGCCCCATCCGGGAAGGCCCTGCGAGTCCTCCAACCACGTAGGTTCGAAACCGGCTAGCGTCGAACCCAAACAGCCTAAAAAGTCGCCTTTGGCAACGCACGATCCTCAATAGGCTCTTTTGGTGTCTTTCATTGGGAGAAAACTTTTTTTGTAAAGAAAGCCAAGAACGTTTGGAAATACAGACATGGGGTGAGCAAAGCTCACATCAGTTTTCCCTTGAGGTCGCGCGGACCAGGAGTTTGGGGCTCACGGATCCCAAACACTCCCCCCGCCAAAACACTCCCGCCTGCAAATGGAGGACTCCTAGAGGCCCAGGAGACTCCAAGGGATCGAGGCCGCCCAACCCCACGGGCAAACATGGCTCCTTCTCCTGCAGCCTACTTGGAATGTTTTACAATGTCCTTTGCTTTTGCTGGTAACAGCAGGAAGTAAACAAAAACGACTTAAATAAATAAATAGGAGGCCTCTTAGTCTAACTTCTGGTAAGACATATTCGCCACAGGGGGGGACAAACCTCTCTGTCTGTGTGCCGGATAAGAAGAGCCAGTGAGGAAGCAGCGAGGGAGAAAGGGAGACCTGTTGAACTCTGGGATTTTAAAAATTTACTTAATGGAGTAGCACCATAGTTTGAACCATTGTTTTCTCCTGGGACTTATATTATGTTGGTTGTTCTGTGCTGACATAGGGGATGTTGAAAATGTCTTCATATATATATATTTCTAATTATACCTCTGGCTGCAAAAGTAGACACCCATATCCCTGTCTGGGCACAGGGCAGAAGTCACGTCCATCTAGGCCTAAAGAAGGATGTCCAGGGCCAGTTTCTCTAGACTCGGAATCATGCCTTAGAGATATTAGTCATTCCACCTTGGGCATCAGGATTTTATAATAAAGTTTTTATTATTATTATTATTTAATGTAATTTTCAAGAATTTAAACACACAAAAATGCAGAGGGAATGTTCACAATTTTGATAACCACAGTTGTAAATAGAAACATTCATTTCTCATAAGATTATAAATATTTGATACTGCAACTGTAAATGCACGTTTTAGAAACTGAAAAAAAAAAGCTTTGTTTCCTGCTAAAAAGGCATGTCATTTCATCAAGTTTCCTAAGCAGCAGATGGTTATTCACAGAATTTTAAGTTACAACTTTTGTTTTTATAGTTTCCTTTTAAAAAAAGAATTACACTATTATGTACAAAGTGGAACTATCAGAGCACTGAAAGAAAGAAGTTTAAGGCAAAGAGATAAGTTCACCCTCTGTCCTCAGGGAGAAAATCACAAGTCAGGGTCAGCACTGTGGCACACACCCCTCAGCTGTCTCCCACGGCAGATAGACTTTTGGACACCATTCTTTTCCCATACGTTAAACAGAAGACAGTGTAGAATTATATATATATATATATATATATATATATATATATACATAATGTATATATATATAATGTATATGTGTGTGTGTATATATATGTACTTGTTGGGGAATATACTGAATATAATTAATTTACACTGTACCACGCCTTCAAAAATAAAATGTATATTTAAAACAAAAAGACATAAAGTTATAGGAAATGATTATTTATACATTTTCTTCCTTCCTCTAGATCCTGGAGGATTCTGAGCTCCTTTTCAAGTCAAGGTAGCCACATGTTCCAGTACTTTGGACTCACAGACATCTGCTTATTTGTGTGTATATGTGTATGCCTATGTATATATATGTATAAATACACACACACATATATTTACCTCGGAAGAATGTTCTCTATAGCAAAAAAAAAAAAAAAAGGAAGAAAACGCCAGCTACCTCTCTGGCAGTGGCTGCCACCCAGAGGCAACAAACCTGGGTCCCCTTTCTAGGGCTGTGGGCTGGCGCCTGGGGTGGCTGATATGCAGCAGGAAATCCCTCTGGCCCAGGCCTGAGCAAGCAAACAGTCGCCCACCGCACAGCTCGAAGGGGCTCAGCGTGGGGTTGGAGCACCACAGCACACAGAGGCAATGGTGCCCAGGGACTGGGAGGGTTGGAGCCCAGGCTGGTGTGGTGTGAAGGGGCTGCTCAGGCAGGAGGGATTGGGGGAGATGGGGGGCGGCCCAGACACTGCCAGGGGCTAGCACAAAGGCTCGAGCCCATCGTAGTGAGGGGATGTCACTGGCAGGGAACGGAGCAGAGTCATGCCCACCCTCCTGGGTCTCCAGCAGCCATGGGGGGGTGAGGAAACCCACTGGGATTTAGGCCCCCACTCCCCACAGCAAGCCCTAGACCCTGCCCCAGTGCTGCCAGCTTCCAGAGACAAGCTCCAGAACTCTTCCAAAGAAGAGAACCCGACAGTCCCCCTCCTGCCAAGTCCCCCTGGCCACGGGTAACAGAGGCCAACAAGACTTAGGGTCACAGGCTCAGTGGCTACGGCGGGCCGAAGCCTGGGCACCTCCTGCTTGTCCTCACTCCAAAGCCAACACAAAGTGGCAGAACTCATAGACCAAATAGGAGCTATTTATTCGGTTCACAGTCGTGTGAAATGCAGCAATAAAAATCTTTGGACTTCAGCAAGTTGTTTTAATTTTTTCTTATTTTGAATAATAATAAAAAAAGTGTTTGATGTCCCTTAATGGAGCTTAGGGGGTTAAAAACGATGAAACCCTAAACAGCTCCCCTTACAAAAAAAAAAAAAAATCATAAAATTAGCACAATCTCATAACACAAAGAACTCAAAAAATATTTTATAGTCAGATATTTTGGATTTTACACCACCTGTAAATTATATATACATAGAATATTGCAGAATCATAGCTAATACACAATATTTTCACTATTTTGCTGGTATAATCTTTATACACTGGCCCTTAATGTTTTTAAATTATTGCATTGTTTAACATGGACTGAAAACTAGATTCCGGTGCCCACCCGCCATCCCCTATTCGCTGTCCGACTTGCCCTCCTTGGCTGTGGTGGAGTGGTTGTACAAGCCTTGTGCCATGAGGTGCACAGCCAGCGTGTTCTTGTTTCCTGTGGCCTTCTTGATCTTGGCACGCTTGTTCTGGAACCAAATCTTGATTTGTGACTCATTGAGGCTAAGCTCCTGCGCCAGGCTCTGCCGCCGCTGCTCGGTCAGATACCTGTTGGTCTGGAACTCAGCCTTGAGCCTCTGCAGCTGCTCTGCAGTGAAGGCTGTGCGTGGCCGCTTGTCCTCTTTGTTCGGGTTCTTCTTCTTTGGTTTGCGAGACCGGGGACCTGGGTAGGCATGAATCACAGAGAGAATACATGTCACCTAGGAATTCCACAGCTTACCTCCTTACCCACAAGTAACCCCAACAGACACCACCTGGGAGGCAGGTTCCAAACCCCAGCTTCTATAGGTGGGGCAGAGAGGCCTTCAGAGAGGAAGTGATTCCACCAAGGCCACTCAGCTGAACTAATTGTAAGTTAGGGTGGATTTTGGACTGAGCTTAGGCTCACCCAGGAGCTCCACTACCCACCCCTAAAGAGTGAAAAGATAAGACAAGAAAAGTCTGGGTGTAGGGTGTGAGTAAGGATAATGGGGCTCATGGCAGAGGGCTTGGGCAGGCTTAGTGGGAAGGTCAATCACAAATAGAGGGGTCTGTACATAAAAGTAAAACTCCCAGAGAAAAGTAAAACAAACACAAAGTTTCCTGGCATGTTTTTTTTCTAGCCCTTTCTGAGGCTCTTTACAGAAAAAAGGAAATGGGGGTAGGTGCAGGGAGAAAGGTGAGGGGGAGGTGTTGGGGTGGCCAGAGAAGCAGGAGGAGGCATCAAGAGTTGCATTGGGAACCCCCTGTATGAACTGTGCAGTGTGACAGGGCTGTGGGTACCAGGTGGCAGGTGGGTTCTGAGCACAAGAGAAATAGAGTGTCCCACCCCACCCCAGCCCCATTTCTGCATCTCACCAATGGTCCAGTCTGCCCAAGTTCATTGTTTCCTTTAAGGAGAGGCACATACATACTTTCCTGGGCCTGAAAGGGGCTCAGAACCACTAGTCAGCCCCCTTTCATGCTTTAGAAGCCTCCTCAACCCCTCAGGAACCAGAGAGGTGACCTGGTTCCTGCTTGGGTACAGAGGCTGCAGGCCCATCTCCCAGACCTGGAGCTGCCCCACTGGAGGCTGTTGGCAGGAACATGTGACAGTTAGAGGGATGAGTCCCACTTCTGTACCCCAGCACTGCCTCTTCACCTGCATGCATCCCCACACGGGCCTGCAGCTGGTTTCTGGCAGGGTGGTTTTAAGGCTCCTAGGACAGTCCAGGGGAGAACTAGTAGCATAGTGCCTAAGGCACTTGACTGCCAACCAGAAGGCTGGCGGCTCAAACCCCCCAGCCACTCCTGGGAAGGAAGATGGGGCAATCTACTTCCGTAGTGATACTGCCTCTGCGGAACCCAAGGAGGGGTCGCTAGGGGTCAGTCCGACTTGACAGCACATAGCAACAACAACAACAACAGGACAGTCCAGCGGTGGGGTGGTAGATAAGGCACTTGACTGCTAACCACAAGGTCAGCAGTTCAAACCCACAAGCCATTCCGTGGAAGGAAGACCAGGTGTCTACTTTTCTAAAAAAAATATATAGCTTCAGAAATCCAATGGGGGTCGCTATGAGTCTGAAACGACTGGATGGCAGTGAGTTTGGGTTTTTTGAGTTTAGGACAGTCCAGCAGGAAAAGCTTGAGTCAGGGCTGCAGTGACAGGGCAGTGTCAGGAGCATTTCTTTTTTGTTGGTGTCCAGAGGCTAAACCCTGGACCTGCCCCAAAAGGAAACATCAGGGTATCTGCGAAGGAAGAGGCAGGACAGGGACTTTGAGAAAAGTAGTTTTGACATTAAGCCTGGGTTTGTGAGTCAAGGAGGCTTATGAATAAACTTTTGGTGAGAAAAGAACCCTGCCTCAGCTTCCTCCGTGGCGCCTGCAGCGAGGGGCTGAAGATAGTTGAAGAAAGGCGGGTTCCAAGACTCTTGCGCTCTGGGGCCTCACGGCGCCCCTCCCACCCCACCCCCACCTTGCTCAGAGCACCTGGGGGGTGGGAGGGGGAGAAGGGGGAGGGAGTTCTCAAGGAAGTAGCCTAAACTGCACTCCCCATCCGGCCTGGCGGGATAGATGAGGCCCAATCTGCACCGGAGAACTCCCTCTACCACCACTAACCCAGCACTTTCCTTCAGGATGCAAACTCCGAAAGGAAAGCTGCTGGAGAGAGGGAGAAAAACTCTAAAGGCAGCTGGGTGTCAAACTCTAGGCTTTTCCGTTTCTAAAGCACACCCACACTCGCACACTTCCTCGCACAAGCAGGCAAAGTGTCACTCTTGCCTATGCCTATGCCTACACCTACGCTGCACAAAGCGGGTTCCGCTCCACCTGCCTCACTAGATGTAGCCGATGGGGATTAGGGCCCGGTAGGGCCCAGCGGCTTTCTCCCACGGTGGCTCAGAGGGCAGGAAGAGGTGGTCTGATGATACCCTGGGTCAGCTTTTCCCTGCTTCTGAAAACGAAGCATCTCTGCTGCCGAGGCTGGCTCTCTGCCTCTCTTCTCTGTCGCAGAGCAGCCCACTCCCTGTACCGCTAACTTCACTGGTTGTGGATTTTTGCTCATGCACACACAGCAGTCGTCAAAAAGAGACTTACTGTTTTGCGGAAGGAAAATCTCCCTAGAATCACAATTTTTAGTTTCCTTTCTTTCTTGATTTATTTCAAAACGCAAACACAAGCCTCAGACCAAACCATCACAAGAAAACTTTCCCCTTCCCTTCTTTTTTAAACGCCAGGAAATACCAGCATTATATTATGGGGATTAAATATATACATATTTATATATGGGGATTAAATATATGTATGTATGTATGTGTATATATATATATATATATATATATATATATATATATCCACAAAGACCTGCGATTCCCGATCTGGATTCCGCAGCTCGGTTTCTGCGGGTTCTGCCCGAGCCTGGCGGCAGCTCTAACTCCCCGCTCCGCACAAAGCGTTGGCGGATGTTTCTCACCCGGCCCGGGCGTTGTGAGGCTCTATGTTAATTAAATATTAACAAAGGGAGGGAGGCGAGAACAATGGAACAATTTTCAGATCTAGCTGGAAAATGTATGATTTCATGTGAAATACACATGTATCTATTTTTTTTGGGGGGAGGCAGCCCAGAAGTAGGTTGTGTTGTAATCTGGGTAAATGAAACCTGCAAAATAGTTGAGTTTTCTGAGGGATAGGGGGAGGATAGGGTCTGCGCTGCCAGCGCCGGACCGGGTGGAACCTTTTCCACAGATGGAGACCGTTCCTAATGGCGGTTCCCAGCCCCAGATCTGCATTTAACGTGTCTAATTTCTACAAGGACATGGGTTTAGGTTTTGAAAATCCCAGTCAGATGAAAAACAGACCCAGAGCCCCCTGCACACATCCCGGTCTCACGCGCGCAAACACACCGGGGCAGCCCAGAAGAAACTGCTCTGCGAGAAGATCCTTTCTATTTGAGGGGTTTCCGAAGCTCCAGGGCCCAGATAGTCATCTGCACTCCTTGGAGCTGACTGCAGGAAGGGTCCTGAGCTCCAACAGGGAGGGCTCAGGCAAATGAAAAAGGGCAAAGAAAAGGGAGACTTCTCTTTTTCACCACTTTCTTCCCAACGGGAGGGGGGCACCCTGTCCATCCACGTCTGCTCCTCAGCCTAGGCCTAAAGGACGGTGGCAAAAAGCACAAAGCTTGGTACATATTGGTATAATCGGCTTGTAGGAAGCGTTTGCTTTTGGGGGTGGGGTGAGGGAGTAGGTCCTGGATCTGGCTTGAGTTGGGAAAAGGTAGAGTTCAGAGTTCTTGTTTCTGGGTCTCTTTTTCAGTCACCCCCTTTCCCAGCAAATAACTCCCAAAGAGGTCAGGGTTACAGGGATGGGAAAAGAGGACAGGCCACAATGTGTGTGTGTGTGTGTGTGTGTGTGTGAGAGAGAGAGAGAGAGAAAGAGAGAGAGAGCGAGCGAGAGAGAGAGAGAGAGAGAGAGGGAGAGACTGAGAGGAAGGTCCTTTCTGTTGTTCTAAGTAAGTCTTTTTTTTTTTTTTTTAACTCCCTTGAGAATTCTGCTCCCTCCCCCTCGCTGCTGCCTGGGCCAGAGTCAGTCACACACAATGTCGCTGTCGCCGTGTGTGCGGTGTGTACGTCTTTGTGTGTGTGTGTGTGTGTGTGTGTGTGTGTTTGTAGTGGTGGGTTGTCTCCTTCTTTCAAGTTTCCAGCTGGCTTATGAGAGCGTTTCTGCATCAGCGTTACCACGGGAGCCAGGCTGGCCTTCCAGCGGCGCGCAGGGGGGCTCGAGGTCCCTGCCGGGCTTACCTGAAGAAGGCCTGTCGGAGTAGCGCGTGCAGTAGACCCAAGCTGGCCAGAGCATGGGTTGAGTGCCCAGGTTGGCACTGGCTTGCGAGCTGTCCGAGTCTGAGCTCACCGACAGGTCGCCGCCACCCAAACCGCGGGGCTTGAGTGCTCCGTCAACCGGGCCCCCGGGATCGCCGCCTTTCTTGGCCCCGCCGTGCAGCGAGAGCGCCTTGGATCCGCCTTCGCCATCCCCAAGAGAGTCGCTCCCGCCTCCAGGCAGCGGTCCGCCTGCCCCGGGCGCAGTAGTGGGGTTGTGCCGGGACTCCCGGCCCCCAGACCGCAGGAGCTGCTCGGCGCCGCCGGCAACACCGCCTCCCTCGGCGCCGCCACCTCCTCCTCCTTCCTCTCCTCCGCCTCCTCGGCCTCCACCGCCGCCCGGACAGCAAGTCCCGGTGTCCTTCCTCCGGCCGAACTCGGGCCGCAAGATGTTGTCGATGAAGAAGTTGGTGATGCGGTGAGGGTGCTGGTGGTTGCCCGGCGCCTGTAGGACCACGGGCAAGATTAGAGCCCGCCGGCGGCCGGTGTCTGAGTCGCTGGGGCTGCTGCTGCCGCCACCGCCACTGCCAGAACTGCCACTCGTGCTGGATTCCGGCTGCCGCTGCCCCTCCACCGCAGCCACCGCAGCCACCGCTTCACCGGGGTTTGGGTCATTCTCCTCCATGCTGTTCACAACAAATCCCAAATTGTTCCTGTTGAGGAGCCCTCAAAATCAACCCTCGGCCCTCCCGCAGCACCCCCGGAGTCCCCTGCGGTTGGCCCGCTCTAGCGCCCCGCGGACTCCGCCGAGGCTGAGCGAAGCCGCCGCGGCCAGGGCTGTTGTCTCCAAAGTGGTCCACGCGGCTCGGAGCGTAGCCACGTTCGAATCCAAGAGCTCAGTTAGATAGATACCAATATTTGCCCTGTGCCCCAAGAAGCCAGGGGCTTTTGAGTCCGGTCCTTCTTCTTAGCGCCCCGGAAGCTCGACAGTAACAATAGTAGCCCCGGGGCAGGCGACGCCAGCACTGCTAACCCTAGCGCCGGGTCCGCTTGGGCTCCTCTCTCGGCTCTGCCAGGCACCGCCTCCCGCTCCGGCGCTGCCGCGGCTGCCACTCGGGGCTGGACTTGTGCACATCCAGGCGTCTCGGTCCCCGCCGCTGCGCTCTCGCACGCGCCTGGGCTGCGTGCCTGCCGGTGCCGCCCTCCCGGAGCCTCCCGCTTACCCCGCGGCCTCGAGGTGCGGGGCGGGGTCCGTCAGCGCGGGAGTCGCTGCCGCCGCCAGCATGCACATGGAGGAGCGCGGGCCGAGGGCTGCGCTCGGTGCTTGGGCGCCCCTATGCACTGCCTTGTTCCCCCTGGCGGGCGGGAGCACCCAACCGGCATGGGGAAGCTGCCCCGCCGCCGCGCCGCGCCCCGGCGGAGCCCCGAGGTCCCAGGCTCATGGGTGAGGAGCAGGAGGGCGGGCGCAGGCTGGCCACCGCCCTTGGTCCAGCCGGTCCGTGTCCGCCGCTGCCTTGCTGCGCACGCGGGCTGGGGGAATTTGGAGGCCACTTAGCTGAGCCTGAAACACTTTCGACTCTGGATTTTTGTTCTTATTTTTAATAGAGCCCCCTCGAGTGACGTCGCGGGCAGGTCTCCTGGACACGTGCCTCGGCCCAATGGCCAAGGCACGGCGCGCCCACGTGACCCGCTGGCTGCCGCTCACTGACAGGAGCTGGCCCGCGCCCCTCCCCGCCGAGGCCTCCTCCCTCCCCCCCTTAAAGCAGCCGCGTTCTCCTGGCGCTCCGGTGCAGAGCAATGAGGTTTGCCGGCAGAGCAAGCCCTGGACTACTATGAGACCGCGGATCGCATCCTCTCCGCTCTCCTCTCTCTCTTGGGGTTCCTGGGTTTGAGAAACCCCAGTCACAGATCCTCCAAGTCACTCTGCTGTGTGTATGTCTGTGCTATAAGATTGCTATTTTTAACATTTCCATATTGTTTACCGTGGGGAAAAATCCCACAATTCATTGCACAAAAATGCATAAATAATATTAAATGAGCTGCCTAGATACAAAGGGACTTTTGTAGCCTGCCTTATTTGCTGTTGGAGAGGGCAATTGTCACTTACATTTGTAACCTGGGCAGCGTCCTTTCTTAAACGCAGAACTGGCAAACGGGACACTCCTGTAGACACTTACAGTAAGTGTGTGTGTGTGTGTGTGTGTAGAAAGGTGTGTGCATATGGTACAATTCCACCCAGGTATCCAGATCTTCATGAAACATATATATAGATCCGGAAGACTATGGGACTATGGTTTGGGTCTCCCTTTGGGGAAAGGAGAAATAATGGTTTTGTTTTTTTTGTAGTGGGTTATAACAGAATCTTCTTTATTGAAACGAGAGGCTGGCCCTTTAGCCAAATGCACCTGAGGGCAGTGGCCACCCCTCCCAACCATCTGATCCTCTCCCCAAAGTCTTTACACTGATTTAGGGGGGCTACCAGGATGTTCATTTCATTTCTGTTGTTGTTGTTGTTGTAAAATTCTTTAAAATAGTTTTGCAGAAGAACAGGACCAGTATGAAAGGAGAATTAAGACTCAAATCATGGTGTAGAGTGGGGACATGGACAGTGGGTAACCCCAATTTGCTTCTCCCCTCTTCTCTTTACCCCTTTCTAAACTTATTTTCCTGGTGCTTTCAGAATGTCCAGCAAGAACTTCTATTTCCTCTTCTTTTCCCTCTTCTCCCTTTTGCTTTCTGTCTTTGCTCTTTTGTCTTCACCACTGCCAGCAGGCACTCCATGAAACACCTGTCCTTACCCCTGGTGCACCTGTCCATTATTTAAAATGCATCTTTATGTAAATTAGTAAACTTCAAGAACCACCCAAAAGAGCATCTCTGAGGATGAGGGAGTTTTTATTGCTCACACAAGAAATGTACACCCAGTGGAAAGGGCAGAAGAGGTAGATGAATGTTATGAAGCCCCAAACCATGGGCTGGTCTGGGACTTGTTGGAGCCTGGTACTTGGCATGTCTGGAACACAGTAGGTGCCAAGTGCCAGGCTACACCAAGGGAGCAATTGAGGCCCTCCTTGACTCCAGCTCCCAGCCTAGAGCAGAGAGCCGGGAGCTGCCAGGCAGGAAGGGAATTGGTTGAGATCTGGGTAAGGAGCTCCTCCACCTCTCAGCCTGACTGGCCAGGACACCTATGAGGTATGAAGGTTACATCCAGCTAGGCTCAGCTCTCCTCCCACTCCTCTCCTCTCTCTAGGTGTCCTCTCCTCTCTTCTGGGGCTTTTCCCCACCCTTCTCCAGGCTTCAGGTAGGTACCTGGGGTAGGACTAGAAGTAGCAGTTCCAAGGTGCTGCTCCTAGGGAAAGTAACATGTGGAGGAAGGGGAGTGGGAGAGCATCTGTGGGGAAGGTACTGGATTGGGTCACCAGGAGGCTAATGGTGGCTGAGTTGAGAGCAGGCAGGGAAAACAGTAGAGGCAAGCAGGTGGCAGAGTGTGGGAAGCATTTTGGAGCCTAGGGTTGGGGAGGTGTCCCCATCCTCTGTGCCTTTCAGGCAGAGTAGGGAAGATACTTCTCATTTGGGGTGACTCACATTTCTTGTCCTGCCTCCCTTCCAACCTTCTTCCCCCTGGAGCGGCCCTCACCAGATAATCTGCTAGGCACAACATCCACAGGTCAGGTCGCTTCTCTGGGTCTCAAAAAATAAAACTCCACAATCTGCCTGCCCCTAGGACAATGAGGCTGTGATGGTTTGTGGGACACCCTATTGACACATATATATGATTTTTTTTTTTTTTTTGGGAATTTCCTGCAACTCAGGGAGCCCTAATCATTACCAGCCAGCAAATGAACAGTTCCCATTACTTAGGGAAGGAGTCCTAGTGGTGCAATGGTTAATCTCTTGGTTGCTAACTCAATGTCAGTGGTTTGAACCCACCATCAGCTCTGCAGGAGAAAAGACCTAGTAATGTATTCCCATAAAAATTACAGCCTAAGACATCCTATAAGGGAATTTTACTCTGTCCTATAGGGTCACTATGAGTTGGAATGGACTTGATGGCACACACCAACAATTACTTAGGTTCTTCTGAATATGGAATGGGTGGAGGACGAACTTGGCTGTTTTGTTTCCTGCAAAGCTTTATCAGGTTAATTTCTCCACCTGTACTTTGAAATCCATTAGTTCCTCTCCCTAGAAGTATTTTCTAATTTTTTTTTGAATCGTTGCCTCTGATTACCCTAACATTAAATTAGCCCTAAGTGCTGAGTTCCTTTCTGCCACCCAGACCCAAATTCATGGCTGCAGCTGGTTTGTCTGTACCATCTGCGGGCACTGGAGTCTGCAGCCTGCACTGCCAGTCTGGCTTGAGGAAGAAGGGGAATTCCATAGAAGCCTTGGACTTGGGTTACTGACCAGTAAGTGGGGGGGGGGGGGGTGGAGCGAGGAGGGGAAAGGGAGAGGAATAATTAGAGGAGGTAATTAGGCCACCCGAAGCAGATCCAAACAAGAAAAAAGGAAAAAGCTCCCCTTTAAAGTGGGTGCCATCTAAAGGAGGAGGGAAGTAGGGAAATCTGGGCCAAAGGGGAAATCTTGCCCAGAGGTTAGAGGAATCCTAAATTTTACAAACACATATATTGCCACAAGCTATTTCTGCAAGCTCCAAAATTGTGTGAAAACCCCATCAAGGGCTTAAGGCCCAGCTTCTTCTCACCCACTCCTCATCCCCAATCTCTTGGCTTGCTTCCTGGAACGAATGGGGAGTTGGCATTTTCAAGTCTCCACTTTGGGGTCCAGAGTCTATGAGGCGCCGAGATGCCAGCCCAGTTACTCTTGCCCAGTGCTGGGCGACCTTGTGCGCCAGCGGGTCGCGCTGCTCCACTTCGCCAAAGCCGCCGCCCGCCATAAACTGTTTTCGGTGGGTGCGTGGTGAGAGGAAACCATCGTTGGACATTTGTTTCTCCCCATACATAAAGTGAGGGCTTGCTCTGTGATATCCGTTTTCTTCTACTCTCTTCGAGACCACGAGGGTGTACCCGAATCATCCGCTTAGAGTACTGTCCTCCATATTTCCCGAGTGAGTTGCCGAGCTCAGAGGCTGAGAGAGTAGAAAGAAGGCTCCCCGATAGGGATGAACTTAATAAAACTGACGCTGTTGTTACAAATACAGTACAACCTCGGCGCTTGGTTTCGGATTGCAGTAGCACTCCTGGAAACTCAGGGTGTTTGATTGCAGATACGGACTCCCATTTTTCTTAAAACCAGGAGGGCGGGAGCGACTTTCCTGTCCCCTATGCTGTACTCCTCGCTCCCAACGCGCACCTAGGTTCAAGTGGCGACTCTCAGACATAACGAAAGCTATCCAAGCGGCGCGCGCTCGCTCGCAGAGGAGAGCGGTCACTCTGTGGGCAGAGATGCCTAACAATTTTGGGAAGTGGAATCTCGGCCCAAATACAGGCCGCAAGCACCCCGCGCGGGTGTCGGAGGGTCAAGCCCCTCACGCCGGGGGGCCAGAGCGTGGAATCCAAGGTTGGGGCGGAGGGAGAGGACTGCTCTTGGCCTGCGCTGAAAGCCCCTCTGCGCCCGGCCCGCGTCACCGATGCTGGCCTGCAGACAAAGGCAGAAATGACCCGGCGCGCAGACTGAGAGTTAAGAGAAGCGTGGGCGAGCGAGCATGGAGATTAGAGGTCTCTG